CATCCCCACTACCACTCCCGGCGATGACAACCTTGGAACCTATGCATTTTAACATGGCACTTACTGCATAATCTTCACCAGATGTAAACTATACATTGGTGAAACTTCACGGAGATTAGGGGATCGATTCCATTCACATCATTTGGCTAAAAAAATCTTAATTTATCCAAGTTTTGTCATTGAGTATTTGTTTCACAAAGCCTGAAGTATATATGAAAAAGAGTTTGATGGCTTCTAGATGACACTACCATTGCTAATGAGGGTAGCTTTGAAGGATAATCATATGTTACTGAAGTGATTCATGCAGTGGCTGGATGTGGTCTGTATAAACTACTAGAGTACTTGATGATGTATAATGGAGATATACATATTTGACAATATAAGTACATAACTTAATATAGCATGTGGTCTCGCATGTCTGTATGAATGCTACTTAAAGTCATTCATAAATGTTTTATAACACAAATGAATCAGTGCACACAAAAAGCAAAACAATGATGGCATGGAGACAACAGATTTGTTAAGAATTAATGAGTATGATGTTAATTGTAATAACTGACCTGAGGAGTATTATTGGAAAATGTAATATGCCTGTTATTTTCATTAATGCTAGTAAGCAAATGTTTTGATGTTGAAATATTTAGAAAGTATAAATAAAACTAACAAAGAGACTTGCATTATGACTGAGAGAGAGAAACAGTTTTATGTGAGATTTAAAGGAATGCAGTTTACCTGGTTCTAATAACATAGTTTTACCTGGTATTTCTCATGAAGAGTAGTGCAAATGATATTGTGGCTGAATTTATTTGAAATATTCATGAATATGTAAAATTATCAGTCGTGAATGAAACTTACAGTAACATAGATATTGTTACGTCTCCGTTTGTTAATTAACTTTCCGTAACTTCGTTCCGACGAAACTTTAGCGACACAAGTCCTTACTTAATAAAACTGGTTTATTCTTTCCTAATATAACTTCACGATACACTTGATTTCAACATTCGCGCTAAAACAAACGCTATAACGAACGTTAACTTCAACAATACTTTCTCACTGCAGATCATCTACTCACTACCTACACACACACATTGTCACGCCGTGACCATCTTATATATACTAGACTACCCTATGTCTAGTAATCTCCCGACAATTCACGAAGGAACAAGATATTTCCAGAAAGCAGGGGGCGTGACACTAGTCACGTGACCTCGCTGACGCAACACTGCCCCTCCTTAATATTGTTCGTCCCGAACAATAATCACATACAATAAACCAATAACAATTAACAATAACTTAATTAAATGTACAGAATTACAAACACAAAATTACAATTCAACGAAGTCTCTTAATTTTACGGGACGTATCTTCTGAAACCTAGAAAGTTCTCATTAAAGCCCAAGATGATCTAGATACCTTGTCAGTGGGCCAGCCATAAGACAACAGTGGTCCTGGAGAGTCTGCTGGCAACATTAAGATAAGGGAGTGAAACCTGAAAGGACTCTTGGGTAAACTCTGCCTATTTATCAATTTCTTATAATTTAAGTTTTACATTGGTTTGGATTTACATCATTTTTTATGATACTTTTCTATCTCTTACATTAGTATGGGAATAAAATGTTTTTTGTTTTGTTTTTTGCATATTTTGTCATTTATATTGTTGCGTCAGCGAGATCACGTGACTAGTATCACGCCACGTCCTTCTCTCGAACCTTCGTGAATTATCCGGAGACTACTAGATTGGGGGTAGTCTGGTATATATAAGATGGTCACAACGTGACGAGGTAATGAGTAATTGAACTGCAATCAGAAAGTGTGTAATTGAACTGAGTATTGCCGAGCTCGTGAGACGTGAGTTATAGAGTTTGTTATAGAGCGACTGTTGAAATTAAGTGTATCATAAAGTTGTATTCGGAAAGAATAAACCAGTTTTATTTAAGAAAGGACTTGTATCGCTAAAGTTTCGTCGGAATGAATTTACGGAAAATTAAGTAACGAATGGAGACGTAACAAATGGGTGTCAGAAGTGGGATAAAAAAAATGGAAACGAGAAGCGGCAAATCAAACTACAGCTTAGCAGATTTGATGGCAGCAATACAACAACAGTAAAATAAACAAGAAGAGAGATTACAGCAGTGGCAAGAAAACTTGCAACAGTGGCAGCTCGAACAGCAAAATAAACAAGAAGAGATATTACAACAGCTATTGGAGGAGAAAGAAAATAAACAAGAAGAGAAATTACAGCAGTTGTTGGAGGAAAAAGAAAAGAAACAAGAAGAGAGACTACAGCAGTGACAACTGGAACAAGAAAGTAAACAAGAAGTACAAACGGAAAACATTAGTACATTTAAAAGCGAATTAGATACATTAAAGGACGATTTATTGTCTTTTACACAAGGAGGATACATTAACCATCGACTTAACCAGCCCCAGACAATGACAAGCCTCTTCCAGAGCCCACAGCTAAACCCTAACGCAGACATCTTCAGTCCTGTTAGAAGTCACATCCCAGATATGAATTTCAGTAATAGGAGTGATCCAGTGCGAAGGAAGCCACGGGAATATGATGGGAAAGCACCGTGCGAAGCATATATAGCACAGTTTGAGCTACTGGCAGAGATGAATGGATGAACAGAGGAGCAGAAAGCAGTATATCTGGCAACGAGTTTGAAGGGACAACCACTGGAAATAGTCGGACTGTTGTCAGCAGACGACAGGCACAACTATAGAGCACTGGTATCGGCTCTAGAACTCAGGTACGGAACCTAAAATCAATCATAAGTCTACAGGGCCAGGTTTAGGACGAGAGTCCGTGCTAAAGGGGAGATCCTGCAAGAGCTGGCACAGGACTTGGAGAGCATGGCACACAAGACCTACCCAACTGCACCACCCGATCTCCTCAAGTTGTGGCTCAGGGATCAGTTCGTAGATGCCTTGGACAATCCACAACTTAAGATACAAGTCCAGCACAGAGGTACCGAGGTTGGTACAGTCATCTGGATTGAAGGCCAGAAAAGGTCAGCTTTCAGAGAAGTTTGAGGGACTTTCCTGGCACTGAAACAAACCTGGGCACAAGAGAGCTCAATGCTGGCAACTTCAACACAGGGGAGACGATACAGCAGTAAAGGCTGCTACCAAGAAAGCCTGTTGGAACTGTGGGGAGCAAGGACATCTGAGGAGCCAGTGTAAGAAGAATATTACCAACAAGTCGGCCTTAAGGAGACCAGTAGTGGTTGGTGCTAAGGGACGCCCACCAACCTCCATCGTGAAAGTCCCAACAGCTAAGTGTAAAATGGCAAGCACACATAGTATCTACGTGACAGGGAAGCTGGATGGCCAAAGGTGCAACTTTGTCATAGATTCTGCATCCCAGCAGACCCTTGTGAGCATCAAGGTGCTGGATAACAAAGGAGTACCAGAAGCTGTACAGAAGCTCTGTGGTGTGACAGGACATTCTGCAAGGTTGTGGGGACCAGTGTGGGTAACTATCGAGCTCATGGGCATGAAAAACAGACAGAAGGTATACTTGGCTGACATTGAAGACAATTGCATATTAAAATTGGACTATCTACTACCGAGCAAGTGTGTAGTTAACTTCGATAAAATGACAATTGGAAACAACAAAGGCCAGACTCCAGTAGGTGTTGCTATATCCGTTGATCTGCATGTCACAGCACTTAAATCAACTAC